AAACCCCCCAAAACTAAAATTCTCCTGTTTTACTGGATACTGGATACACGGTTTCTGAATGCTTTAAAAGACTACGATTTACCTGTCATAGGTGTTTGAATTCAACATATTGAATATATATCCCAGCACACTTTGCTTTGCCAAACACCTTAAGTCCTGGACTAGGAATGTGGCTGTGATACTTTGGCATTTCATTATTCAGAGCCTAGAGCATAGCCTGTTTGTGAATATGAAGAATGTAGCCGTCAAGCACAGAAGAGAAGGATCCAACACCAGTTCTTGGCAAGATGTCTCAAAGACTCACCGTAGCTTGGTCTAAGATGAAGTTGCTTTTCTTAGCCAGGATCCTGATAATTTCTTTCATTCTTGATTGTGTTTGTGAGTATGTGTACACAGGCACTCATTTTTCATTTAAAACTGAAAGGAGGCCAAGCACAGTGGCTCACACCTAAATCCCAGCACTTTGGGAGGCCAAGGAAGGAGGATCACTTGAGATCATGAGTTCAAGACCAGCCTGGCCAACATGGTGAAACCCTATCTCTCCTAAAAATACAAAAATTAGCCGGGCATGATGGTGCACATCTGTAATCTCAGCTACTTGGGAAGCTGAGGCAGGAGAATCACTTGAATCCAGGAGGCGGAGGTTGTGGTGAGCCAAGATTACACCACTGTACCCCAGCCTGGGACACAGAGCCAGACTCCGTCTCAGGAAAAAAAAAAAAAAAAAAAAAGGCTAAAAAGGCTCCTGTCTACCCAGCAGTGAGCTAAAGACTGTATCCTTTTCTACTGAAAGGCATAATTTGACTCCTGCTTTTCCAGCTCCCTTTACCTAGGAAAAATACTTAAGAACCAACATACTTTCCATATTAAACTGGCATAATTTCTCTAATTACCAATTGTGTGTGAGTAATTGGTTCTATAGATACTTATATAGCAGGAAAGAGTATAGATACATTACTCTTTTAGCATCAAAGGGAAGGCTCCTCCTCTTCCTGGTAGAAGGAGGAGAGATTAGTGCTGAAGAAAAACACTGGTCATGTTCATCTTAAAGACTACTGAGTGACGGCCGGGTACAGTGGCTGACGCCTGTAATCCCAGCACTTTGGAAGGCCGAGGTGGGTGGATCACGAGGTCAGGAGATCGAGACCATTCTGGCTAACACGGTGAAACCCCGTCTTTACTAGAAATGGAAAAAATTAGCCGGGCGTGGTGGCGGGCACCTGTAGTCCCAGCTACTCGGGAATGGTGTGAACCCGGGAGGCGGAGCTTGCAGTGAGCCGAGATGTGCCACATGCACTCCAGCCTGGGCGACAGAGCGAGACTCAGTCTCAAAAAAAAAAAAAAAAAAAGACTACTGAGTGACAGGCTGGGTGCAGTGGATCACACCTGTAATCCCAGCACTTTGGGAGGCCAATGTGGGCGGGTCACAAGGTAAGGAGTTCGAGACCAGCCTGACCAACATGGTGAGGACCAAATAAGATAATAAATTAAAGTTGTTAGTATAGTATTTAGCATATAGCAAGTTCCCAGAAATATTTATTACAATTGCCCAACACAGTGGTGCACACCTGTGTTCTGTTAACTCAGGAGGCTGAGGCAGGAGGATCACTTGAGTCCAGGAATTTGAGACTAGCCTGGGCAACATAGTGAGACCCTGTATCTAAAAATAAATAAATAATTTTTAAAAATTGTTGCAACAGTTGCGATTATGTGGAAGTCTGCATATCTTAATACTAGAAAAGAATACATAGTAATGATAATTGTATTAAGGCAGTGAGTAAATCCACATTAACTTCTGTTTGTAATCCCAGCACTTTGGGAGGCCGAGGTGGGTGGATTGCTTGAGCTTAGGAATTTGAGACCAGCCTGGACAACATAGACCCTGTTTCTATTTCATTAAAATTAATTTTTTAAAAAATATTTTCTTCACTGGGCTTGGTGGCAAATGCCTGTAATCCCAGCACTTTGGCAGGTGGAGGCTGGCAGATCGCTTGAGCTCAGGAGTTCAAGACCAGCCTAGGTAATATGATGAAATCCCATCTCTACAAAAAGTACAAAAATGTGGCACCTGTAGTCCCAACTACTTGGGAGGCTGAGGCAGGAGGTTTGTTTTGAGCTGTGATTACGCCACTCATCTTTAGCCTGAGTAACAAAGTGAGACTCTTTAAAAAAAAAAAAAAACCTGCTTTTTCATTCTTATTCAAACAAGACTAGTGTTTTTGTTTTTGTTTTTATTTTGAAACAAGGTCTACCGCCACCAGGTCTGGCTAATTTTTCTATTTTGTAGAGATGAGAGTTTCGCCATGTTGCCCAGTCTGGTCTCAAACTCCTAGGCTCAAGCGATCCTCCTACCTCAGCTTCCCAAAGTGCTAGGATTACAGGCACGAGCCACCGTGCCTGGCTCCAAACATCGAATAATTTACAAAATGATTTGTTTAGTTGTTAATTCCAATAATTGTTTAGTTGAGGTCATAATTTGTATGGCACAGTAATAAAAGCTAACATTTGTTGAGTGATTACTGCATTTCATATCTGTTACCCATTTTAATTCTCACTAGTACTCTTAGATATAGGTGATATTATATCCCCATTTTACCAGACGAGGAAACTGAAGCTTAGAGGTGTTAAATTACTTGCCCGAAGGTCTTGAAACTTAGAAACTTGCAGGGCCAGGTGCTATGGCTCTCACCTGTAATCCTAGCACTTTGGGAGGCCGAGGCAGGCAGATTGCCTGAACTCAGGAGTTCGACACCAGCCTGGGCAACACAGTGAAACCCTGTCTCTACTAAAATACAAAAGAAATTAGCTGGGCATGGCGGCATGCACCTGTAGGGAGGCTGAAGCAGGAGAATTGCTTGAACCCGGGAGGTGGAGGTTGCAGTGAGCTGAGGTCGTGCCACTGTACTCCAGCCTGGGCGACAGAGTGAGACTCATCTCTAAAAGGAAAAAAAAAAAAAAAAAAAAAAGTTGCAGAACCAGACTTTAAATCTAGGCCTGTCATTCTGCAGAGCCATGCTGAACCAGCTAAGCACTACTGCACCATAGGTGCCGTCCCAAACAATTGCAAGTGTGGCTTACTACTCTAATGGAAAGGGTGTGGTTAGTAATGAGACTAACTTGGAAAGTTATATGCCCCTCATTCTCTTTACTATTTATTCATCTCTATATTAAGGTTTATGAGATTTTCATTTTTAAACATCCTAAAAGTTCTCAGCATAGGTTGTATGCTCATAAAAGGATGGTTTATAATATAGATAGATGGGCCTTTTCTTTTTTAACTTTCTTTCTAAAATTGATAATCACATGATTTTAAAACTATATAAAAAGATAGTCATTGAAAAATTTAGCTTCTATTTCTGTCACTCTTCTCTACTCCCCCATTGTACCTTCACTCATAACTCCTTTTATTGGTTTCTTATCTATCCAACCACTGATTCTTTGTGCTTCCTTTTAAAGATGCATTTTCTACAAATAGAATCTGTTTTGTTTTTTTTTAAGAAAAATCTCTTTAACAAAGGTTTACTCTTCTAGTTCTCTACGGTTCAGCACTTTCCCTTTGGGATGCCTAATTATATATTGGTAGCAAGAATTTGTGTCATGGGTGGTTTTTTAAAAATTATTTAATTTAGGCCGGGCGCGGTGGCTCAAGCCTGTAATCCCAGCACTTTGGGAGGCCGAGACGGGTGGATCACAAGGTCAGGAGATCGAGACCATCCTGGCTAACCCGGTGAAACCCCATCTCTACTAAAAAATACAAAAAACTAGCTGGGCGAGGTGGCGGGCGCCTGTAATCCCAGCTACACGGGAGGCTGAGGCAGGAGAATGGCGTGAACCCGGGAGGCGGAGCTTGCAGTGAGCTGAGATCCGGCCACTGCACTCCAGCCTGGGCAACAGAGCGAGACTCTGTCTCAAAAAAAAAAAAAAAAAATTATTTAATTTAAATGGGTCAGTTGCAACAGATCACAGTATATTTGAAAATTATTTTGGGTAGGAAAAAAAGTAGACAGTCCCTCAGAGTATTCTGTGTTTGTGTATGATTTTGAAGATACACTCTTGGACAGCATTCATTAAAAACCAAAACATGGTGAGCAGGTGTGGTGGCTCACGCCTGTAATTCCAGCACTTTGGGAGGCTGAGGCAAGTGGATCACCTTCGGTCAGGAGTTCAAGACCAGCCTGGACAACATGGTGAAAGCCCATGTCTACTAAATATACAAAAAAATTATCTGGGTGTGGTGGTGGGTGCCTGTAATCCCAGGTACTCAGGAGGCTGAGGCAGAAGAATCGCTTGAACCTGGGAGGCAGAGGTTGCAGTGAGCTGAGATCGCACAATTGCCCTCCATCCTGGGCAACAAGAGTGAAACTCTAGCAATAATAATAATAACCAAAACATGGTTCGTCACTAGACTGGTCAACATAGTAAGACCCTACAAAATGATTTTTTAAAAATTTCTACGAAATGATTTTAAAAAAATTACCCAGGCGTGGTAGTACACACCTGTAGTGCCAGCTACTCAGGAGGATGAGGCAGGAGGATCACTTGAGCCCAGGATTGCACCACTGCACTCCAGCCTAGGCAACAGAGTGAGACCCTGTCTCAAAAAACAAAACAGAACAAAACATGAATTTTTTTTGTTTGTTTTCAGGCAAGGTCTTACTGTGTCACCCAGGCTGGAGTGCAATGGTGCCATCTTGGCTCGCTGCAACCTTCACCTCCCAGGCTCAGGTGATCCTCTTGCCTCAGCCTCCTGAATAGCTGGGACTACAGGCATACACCACCACACCTGGCTAATTTTTGTATTTTTTGTAGACATGGGGTTTTGCTGTGTTACCCAGGCTGGTCTTGAATGCCTGAGCTCAAACAATCCACCCGCCTCAGCCTCCAAAGTGTGGGATTACAGGCGTGAGCCACTGCACCCGGCCAAAACATGATCTTTCTAATAATTATTGTCCACTTTTGTTGAAGTCTAATAGCTAACTTCCCTTTCTTATTCATTGTAGTTACGGCAGTCCCAGTCTTACTGCACAGACACAGAGTGTCTTCAGGAATGTAAGTACCGCTGAGACAGGAGGAAGGATGGCATTGGGGGCGGAATTAGAGGCCAGATGCCTGTGAATATTTGTCAGAATGTATTCTTACATTGCCTATTCTGGTGGTTACCAAAAAAAAAAAAAAAAAACTGACACAAAAGAAAGAAATTATTCTCATAGTTTGCTCTTTAATAAGAAAATGGTTCTCCGTAATGTATTTGCTACTTGTCTATTTCATTCTTTAACTTAAAATGTTTTTTCATGACTCAAAAACCCTGTTTATTGCAGAACATTATAAAATAAGTATGAGGAAAAAAATGGCTGGGTGCGGTGGCTCACACCTGTAATCCTGGCACTTTGGGAAGCTGAGGCGGATCGCTTGAGTCCAGGAGTTCGAGATCATCCTGGGCAACATGGGGAAGCCCTGTCTCTACAAAAAATACAAAAATTAGTGGGGTGTGGTGGTGCACAACTGCAGCCCCAGCTACTCCTGAGGCTGAGGTGGGAGGATCACCTGAGCCGGGGGAGGTTGAGGCTGCAGTGAGCTGTGATGGCACCACTGCACACCAACCTGGGTGATGGAGTGAGACCCTGTCTCAAAAAAAAAAAAAAAGAAAGGAAAAGAAAGAACTTCCAGAATACTTAATGATAACCACTGTTGACAAATTCGGGTATATCCTAGTCTTTTTTCTTGGTAAATATGTCTATAACAGGGCACTGTGGGCAGGTGTAACTGGGACATCAAAGCTGCTTGCGCAAACCATTCACTCTCTTCCTAACATCTATTTGCATCTGTTGGCAGGCTTGAGAATTCTTTTTTGTTTTTTTTAAGAGACAGTGTCTTACTTTGTCGCCCACACTGAGAGCGGTGGTGCGATTATGGCTCACTGCAGCCTTGACCTCCTAGGCTCAAGTGATCCTCCCACCTCAGCCTCCCTAGTAGGTGGGACTACAGGGATGCACCACCATGCATGGCTAATTTTTCAGAATTTTCTGTAGAGTCAAGGCCTTCCCATGTTGCCCACATGAGTCTCGAACTCCTGGGATCAAGTGATCCTTCTGCCTCGGCTTCCCAAAGTGCTGGGATTACAGGCGTAAGCCAGCATGCCCGGCCACTGAGAACTTCTTAGGGGAGGAGGCCATTCTTTTCCATGTGTGGAAACTTTGAGTGGCTGTGGAGTTCATTCCTTTGGCTCTGACATTCACATGCGTATCAGGGAATTTGGCAGTGGAGAAGTTTCTCCACATGGCTTTATGGGCAGTAGTGATGGTAAAGTGAGAATCAGTGGAAAGATGAATACTGCATGGTATATGTAGGTGACAGACTTGGTGGCCATTATGTGACACATCTTTTTTCAGGATACTTAGAAATATTTTGAGAGATGCTTTAAGGGGAACTAGTAAAATAGTATTTAAACCAATCCAGTCTTGTATCAGAAGACTGCAAGAAGGAAAGTATGACATTCACAGGATGGTGAAGCCTGGCATAATTAGATTTCATATAAACTTACAGAAATGGGATCACATTGTATGTGTTATTTTTCACTACTTATAAAATATCAACATATATTTGTCTTACTATTTATTGAGCCAGGCATTGTGGCGTGCTCCTGTAGTCCCACCTACTTGGGAGACTGAGGCAGAAGGATCACTTGAGCTCAGGAGTTTGAGGCTGCAATGAGCTATGATCATGCTACTGCACTCCAGCCTGGATGACAAAGTGAGATCCCATCTCAAAAAGAAAAAAATTATTGATTAAATAATAATTCATTGTGGGGAAGCACCAGTGTTTAAATGATTTCCTTTTACTAGAATCTTAGGTTACTGATACATTTTTTGCTATTATAAACAACACTTGAACATTCTTTGTGTGCATATGTTGGGGAGGACAAATAATTTTTTCTTCAACCTCAGAGTTCTTTGCTGAGACACCTTATAACAAAGGATAGATTGCCGGGCGCGGTGGCTTATAATCCTAGAATTTTGGGAGGCAGAGGCAGGCAGATCAGTTGAGGCCAGGAGTTTGAGACCAGCCTGGCCAACATGGAAACCCTGTGTCTACTAAAAATACAAAAATTAGCTGGG